CTACATTCTTTATTATTAAACAAAGTAATTATTAGAACAACGTCAGTCTACATTAATCGACGCATTCTTAGGAAATAGTGGGTTCACAGCGAATTATCGGAACTACTTCAGTAAGACAGTAATATCGTGCTTTACCTGAAAACCTAAAGCTATACATAAAGGTATACATCACATATTAGCAAAAAAACGTTATATTTTGAGCACTCAATTGAAAATGTACACATAACGTATCAATCGTACTTACAGGTTGTGGTTCGGAGAGCTTGTTAGTCCAAATTAAGAAGATTAGAAGCCAACGAAGATAAAAGGCAAGATTAGAGAAGCAGTCCTTGGTAAAATGACGAGCACACAGCAAAAGGTTCGAATTGTATTTCTGTGGTATCCTTGAACACAGCGTCTTCTCAACATGATGTAAACACACTAACTAGCGGAAGTGTTTGTGGGCAGGTCAGACTCGCGGGCAGGTGGGGATTATGCAAATGTGTTACCCAGTGACGTATACCGGTAACAGGCAAAAGATTCGAAAATATGACGACTCGTTAAGGCGATTCAGAATCGACTCTCTTTTGAGAGACAATATCTTTATTTATCATGCACTTTTTTTGATTAACAACTTTGCAGACTGTTTTCATTTAAGGATAGCTACGTTATAAACTGCAAAAGAGATATTTTTCAAAAAACCTTATGACCTGCTCTTTAAAAGAAGTCTCTCACCAAGGGTGCATTTATTTGAACTAAAATACAGTAAAATCTGTAATTTTGTGAAATATTATTAGCTGTTTTTCTGTTTTAATATAAGTACATTTAAATGTATAATTAATTTAAAAAAATGCTCAAACATTTCTTATTATTATTGTCAAATGGTTTGCTTTTTTTTTGTTTTTTTGTTTTTCCCAAATTTTTTTTTTTCCATTTTCATTGAATGGGAAGTTGAGTAGCATTTATTTGAAATGGAAATCTTTTGTAACATTATAATTGTCTTTACTGTCATTTTTTTTTTTGGATCAATTAAATGCTTCCTGGCTGAATAAAATCTCACTGACCCAAATGTTTTAACTATAGAGTGTATTTAAATATATTAATATTTAATTAATGTTTCTTTTTAGCTACTGTAAAAACACCCTCAAACACCCTGAAATAGACAAATAATGAAAACTTTTGAATAAACTGCTAGATGGTTATTAATATTTTAGTTTCTTTGTAAAGATGACCCATTGAACACGGTCTCTTGCATGGGGTGTTTCTGCTCAGATGATCGGCTCCATAGGTTTGCCCAATAAAAATAGGTTTTGCCGGAACAAATATTTAGAGGGAACATTGTGTTAGGGTGACATGCCAGTTTAAGAACTACAGGGAGGAATAAAACAAGTTATTTGATTAGACTGGCCAACAAGTGTTTAATATTTCACAGCTGTTGTTGTCATGATATTTGGAACTCAATGCTAGTGTCCTCAAACTTTCATGGCTTGTATGTATGCTAGAAATTAGTGTTTTTCTTTTAATAAAACATTAAAATGTACCTTATTAAAAATGACCAGACACTTTTTTACTTTTATATAGTAGATCCACTTTTCTAAATAAATAAATAAGTGTGTGTGTGTGTGAGAATGAGACAAATATTGAAAGATCTGTATTGAGAGAGTTCTTGTTGCTTAGTTGTCTAGGGTTTTGACATTTGTCCATGAGAAGTTCATCTTTTTCTTGGCTATAACAAATGATTGTTTATTCCTGGGGACCACCCAATATCCCACACGTGCAGGTCCTGGCATGTCCTGCCCTGTCAGAGATGTTCTGTTTGATGTTTCGGTAGTTCACATTGAACCTCCTCCGTCCCATGGATGCAATTACAGTGCAGGACAGTTAAAGACAATTAAGCAGCAAATCAGCATATTAGAATGATTTCTGAAGGATCGTATGGCACTGAATGATGCTGAAAATTCAGCTTTGCCATCACAGGAAATGTATTATAGTATATTTAAAAATATATGAAAACAGAAAACTGGTTTAAATTGTAATAATATTTCACAATATTAATGTTTTTACTCTAAATAAATGCAGATTTGTTGAGCATAAGACTTCTTTTCAAAAACATTTAAAAAAAATCTAGTAACACTACAATAAGGTTCATTAGTTAACATTATTTAACTACTTTAGTTAACATGAACTAAGAATGAACAATACTTCTACAGCATTCAATAATCTTAGTTCATGTTAATTTTAACATTTACTAATGCATTATTAAAATCAAAAGTTGTGCTTGTTAACATTAGTTAATGCACTGCGAATTAACATTAACTAACAATGAACAGCTGTATTTTCATTAACTAACATTAACAAAGATTAATAAATACTGTAATAAATGTATTGTTCATTATTCATTCATGTTAGTTAATACATTACCTAACATTAACTAATTGAACCTTATTGTAAAGTGTTACCAAAAATCTTACCAACCCCAAACCTTTGAACAGTAGTGAATATATTTAAATTTTTTTTTGACCATTAGTGAAAAGCCAGCTCATTATGTTTCTGGTCTCTGGCTTACGAGTTTGAATCATGATTTTTGTCTAAACAAAAGTAACCTCAAGATTTGCCTTGAACTCAAAGCTGATTGGTCCATTGTTTGTGAACATTCTGTGTAGATGCTGCCACTGTTGGTAGTATAAGATAACTGGCATATGGTAGATTAATGGAAATTTTGGGTTGAGTAAACAACTTTGGATTCATGATGCATTGAATCGTGACTTTTATTTGATGTGCAGTGTATCATGAAGTAATTGTTAATACCCAGCCCTAAACCGCACATTCACATTATTATTTATGAAAAGAAAGAGATTCCGAAAGAAAATAAATTCTGAATGCTACTAAGACAACTGTGAAAGCTGAAACTGTAGAAGAAACTTAAAAGCTTTGCAAGCAAGGGAGATACAGGTTTTTACAAACAATATAATAAGTGCTTTGGTCTTGTAGGTAGAGAGAGCTTATTCCATCTGTGGCACTATTGAATACATGGCCCCTGAGATTGTAGCAGGAGGAGAGTCGGGACATGACAAGGTAAAGTGAACCTCTCATCTGCCCATTCACCATATTTTAAGTGCTATTTAATTACACATGTAATTTTCTTAAATTATACACAGCAGCTTAAAGTTTGACTTTGAAAAGTGATTCATTCATTCATTTTTTTTACATGATTCAGCATACATTTGAATGTGCTTTTGGGACTATAACCCTTGTGTTGTGCTCCCGTAGGCGGTGGACTGGTGGAGCATGGGAGTTCTGATGTATGAGCTGTTGACCGGAGGCTCTCCTTTCACAGTCGATGGCGATGAGAACTCTCATTCTGACATTGCCGAGTAAGACCAGTGCACACACACACACACATACACACATACTTAGAGCTGTATTCTCTGTAGGGATGGGAGTAAGGAATTTAACAATTCTGGTTCTGATTATTATTCCTCTTAGCAACTCTGGTTCCATTAATGATTCTGTAAAAGGATTGTTCACCCAAAATGAAAATTCTGCCATCCTTTACTAGCCCTCATGTTGTTCCAAACCTGTATGACTTTCTTTCTTCTGTGTAAGACAACAGAACATACTTTGAAGAATGTTGGTAGCTGTACGGTTTCAGTTCCTATTGACTTTTGTTGTATGGAAAGGAAGTCATTGGGTACCAAAACTCTTTGGTTATCAACATTCTTTAAAATATCTTCTTTTGTGTTGAGGAGAAGAAAGAAATGCATACAGGTTTGGAACGACATGAGAGGGAGTACAGGGTTTTCATCTTTGCGTAGACTTTTTGAGACCTTTTAAGTTCTTTATTGAAATAATTTTTTATAAAATGCTATTTATTAAAATACAACAAAAATCATCATGTGTATCACATCATCATATGAACAGTTATGATCAGTCAACTTTAGTATCATGAGCCTTACATACACATAACAAGAATATTTTTTTCGGGGTTCATTTTGAATCGGACATGATGAAATTTGATGGATCATAGGAGTCATTTGTTCAGGAATCAGACTTGAACAGATCTGAAAACTCAAAAATCTAATTTTTTTGAATTCTTATTTTTATTTTTTTAATGCAACTGAATAATAACTGGTTCTCAGTTCCCAACCCTAATTCTCTATGTGGTTAAACGCCAGTTCTCTTTTAATTCTCTAGAAGTCCGTGTTGTTTTGAAATCAAGAGTTGACTGTTTGATTGCATCAGCATGTTGACAAAAAAGCATTAAATTACCTTCTTAAAGCTGCACTTGGTTTTCTTTTTTATTCATTCTCTCTCTTTGCCCAATAGGAGAATTATGAAAAAGGATCCTCCATTCCCCAAAGACTTGGGGCCTCTGGCCAAAGACATTATCCAGCGATTACTAAATAAAGACCCAAAGAAGCGGCTGGGCTCGGGGCCCTCAGGGGCCCAGAATGTGAAAAGCCATCCATTTTACCAGGCAAGGCAAAAATGAATAATTGACTTTTCCCCAAAAAGGGAATTTTAGTAGAGAAGAATAACTTTTTCCCTCGTCATTTCTTTGGCTTGTTAAAGTTAATTCAGATCCATTCAAGCTTTGAAGGACCAACATCTAAAATGTTTGACTATCGTTGATTTAGAAAATGAACTGGGAGGATCTAGCTGCTAAGAAGGTTCCGGCTCCGTTTAAGCCTGTAATTCGTGATGAACTGGATGTTAGCAACTTTGCAGAGGAGTTTACAGAGATGGACCCGACATACTCCCCAGCGGCACTTCCAAACAACTGTGACCGCATCTTCCAGGTAGTGGAATTAAAACTCATTTTAATGTATTATAATATTTGTGTAATAGCGGATATTTATGGTAATTTGCACGTCAGACCGCCTAACAGGATATGTGAAAGTGAGGAATTTAAGACTCCACTGTATTACTATTGCACAGTAATTCTAATATTCAGCAACAGTAATTAAAATACAGTAATCCTCATCAGTGTTCATATTGACTGGGTTCCAAAAACATCAATGTGAATGAAAAGTGGACTAAAGTGGATACAAAAGATAATTTAAACATTTGTTAATATTTTATTTGTATTATTATTATTATTATCATCATTAATGTCGTTCTAGCCCTGTGCATTATTTGTTTGCACTAAGCATTTATTTATGACTAAGAATGAATTTCTGCACATGAGTGGACATTTGATGTTGCGTTAGGATATAATTGTTCAGTTAACCCTCCATTATTAGTGAGCAGGAAGTACTGAAGTGGATATGGGCAAGTCAGCCTTTATAATGATCACTTGCGCAATGTGAGCCCGGCTGTCTATGTTGGTATTCAGATAGATTAGAGAGCTGTTTGGAGATGTAATTATGGTGATATGGAGATGGATTCAAGCATCAGATGTGAATGACTATTTTTGATGCGTCTTGATCCATAACGTTGCCTATAGTATGATGCCAGCTGAAATGGGAGGCTGCGAAAGAGATGGTGTCTATGATTGCCTGCTGAATCCTTCAGTCTACCGGATCAATGCCGCCATTAAACGGCTCTGTCATGGAATAAAAGGTCGGCGTCTGTGAGAACAACCATGTCTGGCTCAATTACTCCTTCAACCTTTGATTACCAACTTCATCTTGGCTTTTCTGAGTGTTCGCCTTTCATGTGCGCTGGAATTTTGATCCTTCATAATTCTCGGGCGGTACAATTGCAGCGACGTCTGCAATGATAACTTTCGAAGTGCTCCACCGCACACACACATGCATAGCAGCATATAAACCCAGCCACCCGTCAAACTCCTCACAAACTGAAATTAAGCTGCATTAGAGGACTGTGATCATTTGAAAAGCAGGGCAATCAAATACCTTGGCTTAGCAATGATCAAATGAATGCATACTTGCTGCATGCAAGTATTAGCTTCTTTCAACAAAAATCTTACCCCAAATTTTGAATGGTAGTGTATTTTATCCAAATGTACTCAAAATTCACTCAAAAAAAGTTCAGTTTTTGAAGCAGAATTGTCCCAAAACTACCAAATATCATCTGATTTCTTTTCCTGGCCAATATATCAGTTTTTCACTAATGTCATCCATGTGTGATGTGCCTAATATTGATTCACACTGAGCATTTATGACAAATAATTTCTGCACACGAGTGGACATTTGATGTTGCTTTAGAATGTAATTGTTCTGTTAACCCTCCATTATTAGTAAGCAGGAAGTACCGAAGTGGATATGGGCAAGTCAGCCTTTATAATGATCACTTGCGCAATGTGAGCCCGGCTGTCTATGTTGGTATTCAGATAGATTAGAGAGCTGTTTGGAGATGTAATTATGGTGATATGGAGATGGATTCAAGCATCAGATGTGAATGACTATTTTTGATGCGTCTTGATCCATAACGTTGCCTATAGTATGATGCCAGCTGAAATGGGAGGCTGCGAAAGAGATGGTGTCTATGATTGCCTGCTGAATCCTTCAGTCTACCGGATCAATGCCGCCATTAAACGGCTCTGTCATGGAATAAAAGGTCGGCGTCTGCGAGAACAACCATGTCTGGCTCAATTACTCCTTCAACCTTTGATTACCAACTTCATCTTGGCTTTTCTAAGCGTTCGCCTTTCATGTGCGCTGGAATTTTGATCCTTCGTAATTCTCGGGCGGTACAATTGCAGCGACGTCAGCAATGATAACTTACGAAGCGCTCCACAGCACACACACACACACACACATGCATAGCCGCATATAAACCCAGCCACCCCCTCAAACTCCTCACAAACTGAAATTAAGCTGCATTAGAGGACTGTGATCATTTGAAAAGCAGGGCAATCAAATACCTTGGCTTAGCAATTAAAAGCATTTCAACCATTCATCTCCTCATCCTTCCGTCCAGCCGTCCTCTCATCCAGCCAGCCACTCCTCCGCCCATGTAGCACACAGCTGCAGTCTGGCCGTGTAAGTGGGACATGGGCTGTCGGAGGCTTTATTTAGATGGTCGCACATGATGCAGTTGTCGCAAACAATGTGACTGGAGTCCCTTAGCATGAAGGATTTGCAGAATTGCAAAAGGCCTTGGTGTTTGAGTTCTGTCAGTGAACCTGAAACTTCCTCTGCATTAGTTCCCTCTTCTGTTAGTGAGTGTGTTTATAGCTGTTTGTATCTGCAGGGCTATTCCTTCATGGCTCCCTCCATCCTGTTTAAGAGGAATGCGGTAATGGACGACCCGGCTCAGCTGTGCGGCGGGTCAGAGAGGCCGGGCTCCGCAGCTGTTGCCCGTAGTGCTATGATGAAGGTCAGTCTGCATATCGCTGCTTTGTAAAAATGTTACAACATTTAAAGCTGAGGTGTGTCATTTTTTTCAATGTTAATATACTTTCTCCCATCCCAGTTTAATGTGAGGTACAACTGTAAGTAAGCCATTTGTATGTTGATTTGACTGAAAAGTGTAAGCATTTCAACCCTCTACATTGCGAGTAAATCACTCGCATATGCGACTAAATCTTCACTCTGGCGACTAAATGATGTCTAATATTAGCCAATTGCTAATAAATTCTCAGATTTTACTCGCCAGTGTGTGAGTTGGAGGCTAAGTATAAGTTTAGCTCAGATATATTTTCACTCGCCGAACACTCTCTGACTGAGCGCATCAGAGTTTCACTCTCCGCCAAGCGATCTGTGCTGTTTTTCAGTTAATTTGAATGGATGTGCGACGCACAATGTACTGTAAACTCTAGTGTGAAGGCGCACGACGACGAGAGGGAGAGAGAGAATTGACGCGCTACATGTAAACGATATTCTTTGTTGTAATTTGCTGTCAAAATAACGGAGTTCCTATGGAATTCTTCCGCTTTTAAGAACTACCGCTTCCTCCGGTAGTGGGCGGAACTAATGCACAAACGGCAATCTCATTGGCTGGCGCTCACCTATTATCGTCCCTATTTTGATTTCAGCAAATCAGTTCGAGAGAACGCACACAACCTGATTAATATTCATGAATCCAATAGCTCATTAATCCTTAGTGCGTTTTATATTGTTCTTATTAGTAGAATTCGTATCATTATTATCTAAACAGTATTTTTGTTAGTTTTTCCCCAATTATTATTATTTTTTTTACAGAAACACTGAATGACCAAAAAAGCACCACCACCAGTCCGAAGTTCAGTTAAAATGACTAATATGCATTCATACATGGTTATCAAGTTTTAATTCTAATTACAAAAGTTCTATCATTAAATAACATTGATTATCATATTATAATGCTTGACTGACTGATGTTAAGAGTGTACTTTCAGATATTTATAAAACTGTGCCATTTCACAAACAAACATATACATACATATATATAAGTCTGGCGAGTAAACTAAAAAATTTACTAGCCAATGGCGATTCAATTGCCAAGTTGTTCGTAGAGGGCTGTAAAGGTTCTTCAAAGTGAGGGAGTCTGTGATACTTCAGACTTCATTGAATGAGCATCAGCGTGCACATCAGACAGACAGAGCACATTAGAAAGCGTGCAATAATTCTGACTAAAATGTACATTTAACTGTTAAATTAAGTTATTTTTGTGAGGGCAGTAACTGTAAAGGCACTATTATAATTGGTAATAGATATAATTGTTCAGATGAGTAAATGCACCTCTTACCAAGTTAACAATCTGCTTTTGTTTTTGTTTTGTATTTTCTTTTAATTTAGTGATGTTAACTTTTCCTTTTTTGCACAATGTAAATCATAGCCTACATGGATACATTCACTATATTTGTTTTCATAGCCTTCACTTTGTACATTGTTTGGAGGATAACATTGGGCCGGTTGTGGAATATATGCAGAAAATAAAATGTTGCTTGTGTGTGATTAATAGTTCAAATCACTAGTTGCAGC